TGAACAAACAAAATGAAGCACTCACAAAGATGTTTGTAAATCTGTCAACAAAAAGCCATGTAATGTAATCTATTAACTATCTATGTTGCAGCTCTTTAAAAGGCCCATGTCAAGGGCCATTATTAAAATCTATTCTAGTGCGGGAATATATACTTTTGCTTGTTAACCCCTCATGAAAAATGCCCCATTCTGGGGAGCTGCAGAGACATTATGACCACCACTACAGCATGCAAAATAAAACTAACATTTTAGCTCAATTTCCTGCAGCCTGCTCTGGAAGCCACCAAAAAGGTGCTAGGAGATACCTTTGGATCGTGGGATGGGGAATGGATGCCTGACAACCTGTCCTTCCAACTCCATGTGGACATACTGCTTGAATTCTGATCATTCCTTTATAATTCAATAAGATTAAATCAGTTTTCCTTTTAAACTAGTTTATGAAATAACTGATCCCAGTTTTCCAAATGGAAGCAATATTTCTGTAAACAATTGCAAATCAGCTCTTACTGCAGTGGAGGGATCAACATATGCTTTTTGTACATATGCATTCAACTTTTTGTTAGGATGTGTCTAGTTATGATAAATAATTCAAGTTCATTATCAAACGTGACCTTTTATTTTCGCAGGAAAAACTCTGCTACAGGTTTGTGTTGACTATCAAATAAATGAAGTCAATGGTTGCCTGAAGGTTTGGATTTTTTTTCTTTCCAAAGGAAGAAAACAAATAGATTTTACTTTATCTTCCTAAGGGAGATACATTATCTCGGCAAGCCTTCTTTATCATAAACAACATAGAAAATCAATATTAAGTTTGTAAATCTAAGGGAATATTCTGTTAGGCTATACCAGTGGTGGGCAACCTCGGCTCTTTTATGACTCATGGACTTCAACTCCCAGAATTCCTGAGTCAGCTATTCTGGGAATTGAAATCCATGAGTCATAAAAGAGCCGAGATTGCCTACCCATGGGCTATACTTACTGTTTACAATAAAACACAGTATACTACTTTACAGAGTGATGGTAACTGACTTGCTAATTCTTATATTAGGCAGCTGAAATCCACTGTATGTTTTTTTTCCTATGCCCAGCAAAAGTTAACCCATGAATTACTGTGATTCATGAAAGATCCATGTTACTAGAATATTTTGACACTCCCCCTCCTGTTCCAATTCCCAAAGCGTTCCCCATTAATATGCACTGAATTTTTGCAAGGGTCAAGGCAAAGGGGGGACTGCAAAATCCCCTCTTCATCTTTTGCTAGTGGTTGTTGGCATCAACACACAATGAGCCCCTTTTCCTTGAGAGAAAATCTATCTGGAAAGATATCCAAAACTGGATATCCTTCTCCTCCATGATAAGGGGAAAATGTATTTCCTCTCTTATATTGGAGGTCTTGGAGATGAGGGAACCCTGTCTATCTCCTCATTATTTTAAAACTAGAAATTTTATGCATTTATTGGCCTAGTTTACAATAAGGAAAGGCATATTCCATAATTTTTTATTTACAGATAGCTTGAATCCTGTTTTTGTTGAAGAGAACGTTCTGTCCCGGATAATCTACAAAGAGCTAAAGCTAACCATTAGCAAAACCTTGCTTCCTCTCACATTTTTACGATTTCCTTCTCTCTTTTTCCCACTCCTTCTCTCCATTCTCATTGAGTTACCAGGGGAAGGATTATTCTTAACTTGGTCTGATCTTGAATATTTGCAGAAAAGATTTGAACTTAGCTCCAGGACTGGATAAAACAAACCTCAGGCACAAGTCTGTTTCCTTTTCAAGTTCTTTGTCTTACAATTCCAAAACTCTCTTTCCATCTTGGAAACCACAACCTTGTTCAAAGGGACACTAATAGATAATCAAGGTTGTGCAGATGTGGCTTGAAATAAACCTCCACCATTTTTTAAGAAAAGATGCCTATTGCAATGAATAAGCAGTTTGTCATTTGCTGAGTCAATGATTCCCAGTGCTCAGTTGTAATCACCCAAAGATTCTGACATTTCTTATTTCTGAAAAGTAGTCACTCCAATGAATAGTTTACTAAACTGGATTTAAATCTGAATGAGAAGATATTGTCCACCAAATGCAAATCACGACAACTGCCATATTCAGACTACTTCATTAGCTTCTGGGCTGTAATACTGAAGCCTTATACACTGATTCAAAAATATCTAATAACTTGAAAATATTTGGTTTTATTACTGAGCTGATATGTAATATTTTTTTCAAGATCATATCTAAGAGGATATAATCTAGGAATTTCAACCTATTGAGAGGTACAAAAATCCTGCTTTTCTCTTTCTCCTTTTTCTTAGCTGGGTAGAGAGATCTTTCTTTACATCTTTTTTTTTTTTTGCTTTCCTCTTTCTGCCTGGCACAATCTTTCTTGCCTTCATCTAGAAGAGATTTAACTTGCTTGCTTGTTGCCTTTGTCATGGTGAAACCCTTGCATAGACTGGCTACACATAGCCCTTCTATTTTTCCCTTAGGCTCGACAGCCTCCTGGACTGCCTTTCCTAGTAAGTCTCACCTTGTGCCCAGAAAACTGGAATATAAGTAGCACTCTTCTGTCCTTTTATTGGGAAATGCACAAGTTGAGCTGACATGAGTTTCAGTGCTGCTTCCACCACGATGCTTCTCTTCCTAGAACACTTTACATGCCCTAAACTGTTTGCCTATCTGAGGCTTAGCGGCCAGGCCTTGCTGCTCAGGATCCTCAGCACCTACAAAGTATTTGTGGTAAACCACAAAAAATGATTTGGAAGGCCACAGTCAGCTCTACTCATTCTGTTCTCTTCATTGTGACACATGAATCCCTTTTGCTGGCATTTTTGTAAGGCAACCTGGATGCTTCTTGTTCTTGGACACCCTGTAGGCCTAGCATTTTTTTATACATTTCTAGAAACAAAATGCTACTTTGTCAATGTTAATTTTTTTTAAAGAGGGGATGTTTCAAAGTCTTGACCAGGGGTAGGCAACCCAAAACACTCAAAGAGCCACTTGGACCCATTTCCCACCGAAAACAAAACACTGGGACCCGCAAAACCCTTCTTTTCAGGGATGAGAATATGGAGGTCATGTGGATGTGGAAAGATATTTATGAATAGGAAAACAAGGGAGATAGATGTAGACAAGTGTGGAAGTGTGCATAGGACAGTGGTGGGAAAGTGCACTGGCAGATATAAATGTATTTGCAGAAATAACGAGGGAAAATGTTGTATGATATTAAGAGATACACGTATGCATGTATCCCTCCTTCCCCAGCATAGGGTTCCCCAGAAGCTCTCAGGATGAGCAAATGGCTCTTAGACTGAAAAAAATTCCCCATCTGGAAGTATTCATATTGGCAGCTGCATTCCAAAGAAAAGTTCTTTTCTAATCTTTTTTTCCTAGAAACTGTTTTGAATCCAGAAGATGAATGGGGAAAACAATAACTAATTACAGTACAATCTTATGCATGTTTACTCTGAACAAGTTCAATTTTTTTTTCTCCTCAGAAAACATATTGCTCCATTGAGGTAACTGGGTATTTAAAGGAGATGGTCTGTGTACATATACACAAAAATGTGTTTTCCTCATAAAATCTGATTCTCGCTTGGATATTAGGAAAACATGTTGCCATTTGGGGCTTCATTCTCTCTAATCAATGCTAGACAGAGCATACAAATCATCTACAATGGTAGATTTTTTTTTCAATTCTAATAGAGAGTAAAAACCGCAGAACTGGTTAAATTTTTAAAGACTGGATAGTTCGACTTGTAATGAGTTACAGACTTGGGTAATAATAACTCACAATCCAATCAAGTAATTTTGTCCACAGCCAGCAAAATAATTAATAACAGTAAGTTATTATTTGAAAATGCTCCCTTTTTTGTTAAAAGTTTTTTTTGGGGGGGGGGGAGTATAAAAGTTCAGAAACATACCCATGATGACAGGAATGTACTCTTTTTTCTACCGATAGTGGACTAATGAAGCCTTGGCAATAAAGTTTCTTTTTTCTTCTCACAATATTTTAGATTTGGTGAGTCTATCTGCATTCAGTGCTGTGATAATACTGTCACATCTGAAGGCTACATGGCTGAAATAATATTTCTGCTATGGTTCCCTACTGGTTGCACACCAAATAGAAGAGCCAAAGTAAATGGCTTCTAAGAGGCAGGCTCTCTATTATTTTTTGAGAGCAAAACTTTAGCAGGTTATGTCACAAAGTGCATGGACATTATGTGTCCTAAAGAGCCGTGGTGGTACAGTGGTTAGAATGCAGTACTACAGGCTAACTCACTGCTCGCACCAGGAGTTCGATCCTGACCAGCTTAAGGTTGACTCTGCCTTCCATCCTTCCAAGGTCAGTAAAAAGAGGACCCAGATTGTTGGGGACAAGATGCTGACTCTGTAAACCGCGTAGAGAGGGCTGTAAAGCAGTGTGAAGCGGTATATAAGTCTAAGGGCTATTGCTAATAGACCCAATCAAGCTTTCTTTTCTGCAAAGAACACCAAAGAGCAATGCTCGCTTAGAAGCGCCTGACAGAAATAGAAAAGCAAGAGACAAACACACTGAGTAACACATTCCCCCAAGAATCTGGTTTCAACAATTACAAAGTTTTTGTCTGCTTGCGGGAGCCATAGATAGATTGCTAGAGGTAGCATAAAAGTACTGTGGATGTCTTTAGCAACAAAGAAGATCTTTTCCTAGGTACTGCATGCTAGACCTCGGAGAAAAAGAGAGCCTTTCAAGTGATTTTTTTGCAGAGACAACAGAAGCCTACTCCTTGGTATCCATAGAAGCAAAACAACTGATTCTGGTTTGAACTGTACTATACCCAAGCCAATAAATTTTTATTTGACTAAGAATTACTTTAGTAGCTTGTTATCTGTAAGCATGTTCTTCTTATTTGCTCAATACTCCTTATTTGTTTGTGGGGAGAAAAAAAATATTGTATCAGTAGCTCACATAGCCAAAACAGACTTTTTACAGAAGGAAAACAGTTCAGTTTACATTTACCTTCAGCACAGTGATATTCCACGCAAAACTCTCAATTGCTTTGCTGAGTTTTCTTCCTTTTAGGCCTTCCTTTGTTCCTAAGTTATGTAGTTCTTCATGGAGCTCCATACCTAACAAAATATGTGGCAAAGTAATTACAGGCAGTTATTGAAGGAAAGTAAATTTTTGAAAAGTCTTTATTATGATCCATGAAGTTTTACATATAATAGATAAACAATCTGGTGCTGGCAAAACCTGTGTGCCTTCAAACATAATCCTGGTGAACAGCAGTTTCCCTGCCTAAGTTTTAAAAGCGTATTTTAATAAAACAATAATTAATTTATAACTACTATGCTCCAAAATACCAAAAAAAACTAGCACCACTTATTGCAGCAATACTTTAGATCCTGCAACCTTGTAAGTAAGCAAGCAATCTACAAAGGTTGAATGAAAAGTAATGGCTCCAGCTCCATAACTTTAGTTTGAACGGGGATACTTGGATAAATGAAACAAGAAAATAATCCTTGGAACAAGCTTTCTTGTTGCCAATATTTACTGTATTTCTCCACATAATCATCACCATTCTCTACATGATTCTGCCAACAATGGACAATGTTCTTAAAACCATAACAAAATAACTTTCTTCAACGTCCTAAATGTCTTTTCCACCTCTTCATTTGAATCCAGCAGATGTTTGCAAAGATATTTCTTCAATTTTGGGGAATGAAGAAGTTATATGCTGCTAATTCTGAACTATTTGGTGGAGAAGATAACATGATGAGATCCACTTTGCAACTGAAATGGTCTTTTGGGTTAAATGTGAGACCTAGCTAGCATTATCGTATTGCAAAAAAAAAATATTCCTTGTAGTTCTAAATTTGAACATTTTTCAATCATACCCAAGTTTTATGTGTTGCAGTATAGCACTGAGTTGATAAGTGGTGCCAGGTTCAAGAAAATCCATGTGAATTATACATCTGCATCCCCAAAAGATTATGAATTTTCCTGGGTTTTGATTTCCCCATCTCCACCTCCAGTTAAAGCTTTGTGATCATATTCCACGGACTGAAGCTTCATTTCTGTGTCATAATAATGAGCCTGTGTTTTATGGCTATCACAATACTTTGAAACAATTCTTCACCTTCCTTATCACACCATGACAGTAATTGCTGGCAAATTTCAATTTTTGAAACTTTTATCTCTAGTGTTGGCATGCAAAAGAACACATCTTGTTATTAACTTTCTATCACTGAAACGCATCAATTTTGTGACCCATTTTCTGTGAAATGTCAAGCTGGACAGTAATTCCCTTTGAATGATATATTGAATATCCTTAATCAGAATTTGTTATATGAAATGTAATGGTTGATATCACGGGTTGATTCTTTTTTTCTTAATCACACGAAACAGTTCTTGGTTTACCTTCTTACATTTTTGGGACCAGCAATGCACAATATAATACAGTCAATATAGTCATCATAATTTCAGTGACAAGTTTCAATTGGAAGAACTTTTTCAGCAGTCAAAAATTCAATTATGGAATGCTACTTAAAGAGTACTCACAGAAGGTTCATTTTATGAATATTGACTTTTTCTTTTAACAGTAGTTTTCCACCAACTGAAGCAAAGAAGCAGATTCTAAAGAACATGTCAGATCTTTTAGGGTATTAATAGAGCCATGTGTTGGCAACTTAAAACACTGGAAATATTCCCACGTAGTTTGCTTTCTGTTAATGTGACTGATCATGCTCATTATGGCAACTATTTATGAAACAGGTAAATCTCCCATGGTAGCCATTTTGTGAGAGTGCTCATGACCTTTTAAAATTCCAGATGTGATTCTGATTCAAAAGACTGTCCTGCTCCTGAACACAGAAATATCATATTCTTTTTTTTAAGGAAAATAACTTTAGGATTAAAGTGATGGTGCTTTGCTGAATAAAAAAGGAGTCTTCTTTGAGACAAAATTAAATTCTTAATGCCTGTATCCATGTGCCAATGTAATTTTCCTGGCAAATAGTTTCTTCCCTTTGTTTGACTTTTCCAATTAGCCTATATTTCTTAGTAGTTGCCCATCCAAGTACTAACCAGACAACCTTGCTTAGCTAGGCAAGAGTGATCAATACTCCCTCTTGCTGCAACATATTATTGTAGCCTGGAGAAGACATCATACATTCAATTAACATCTTTTCTTCATGAACCTGTGAGAGCAAAGATTATGTCCAACATATCAAGAGCAGGACTAGAACTTTTGCCACTGTTGCAGTGATGTGGCAAAGGTTCAGCTCATTACTGTTTCCCATAAGAAGGCCATTTATTTGGGGGGAAAGCATGTATTGTAGGTGCACTTGGGAACTTTTTTAAATTAGGAATTTTAGAGAAATTACAAAGAAAAATTAAGAAATAAATAAAAAGCAAATGCAGTAAAATGCAAATAAATAACAAATCTAAAATGCAGTGCAAATTATGGTTTTACAATGAATCATTTATTAAGTTATGAATTATAGGGTAGTTCATGCCATTTGAAAAAAACAGGAATGACTATAAAGCTTTAACCTGGGTAGCTATTCTTCCAATGAAAGAATCAAGCAATCTTTCCAGGAAAAACTGATGATATCCAGTAATCATATACAAAGTTACCTCAGGATATTTTGAAGAATGCAAGATTTAGTAAAGTTTAATAAAAAAAAAATATCAGGGGTTGAAGTGGAATTCAACTTTTAAAATTTCTTTTTTGGGACTTGGGAATCTGAGGAGTTGGAATTTACATTCCTGAATGTAGGTCCCTAAGGACAGTTTCCCTATTTCCCCATGTTTCTTCCTCTGCACAGCACTTGCTATTTAGCTGCTCTTTTCTTTTACTGTGTCTTTCTTTGCCAGTTTCTGAAAAAGATAACTGTTCAGGAGAGTTACTATTGGCAGTGAAGAATATCAAGGCGTCAGAACAGCCACAGCCTGAACAATGTGAATTGGAAGGGTGAAAGTTGATTTGAGGTTTGCATCTGCAAAGTATACCTTAAAGCAGGGGACTTCAAACTTGACCCTTTTATGACTTGTGGACTTCAACTCCCAGAATTCCTCAGCCAGTGTGCCTGACTGAGGAATTCTGGGAGTTGAAGTCCACAAGTCATAAAAGGGCCAGGTTTGAAGATCCCTGCCTTAAAGCAACAGCACTGATGTCTCTGCTTTAAAGATATTTCTAAGCAGTGCTATGCACATGTCTGCCATGTTTTAAATCATCTCTTTCTCGTCAATTCTTGATCCTTCTGCACCCCTAACTTCTATTTGGGTTACTGTTTTATCCTATTCAAACACTGAGTGTCACAAAAGACATGCGGATTGTCCCAAAGCTTCATGAAGAGTCATAGTCTCCATTTGCAGATCTGCCAGTCTCCCACATATTTATTTATTCTTGTTTATTTCCTTCTGAAAAAAATTAAAAGCTTAATTGCTGAGAACAAAATGAAAACAAGCAGTACTGCAAACAATTACTTTTATCCAATGTATGCAGGGGTATGCTAAATACTGGGTTCACTAAAATCAATTCAAGCCATAATTATACTGTATGACCTGGGTCTTTTTAAACTCTTACAGTGATATTAATCTGGTTGATAAAATATAATTACAGTAAGTCCATTTCTAACAAAGTAATCAGGCTTGTTATAGACACTTGTAAAGCTTAAATTAATGAAAATCTATTTAATTAAACACATGCTACTTTTTAATTAGAGTAATCTCTAACCCAGTTATGTGACTCAAAATGCACACATATATACACATAGCTTCGAGGAAGGAAAAAGGCTTTTAACATTTTTAAAAGGCTGTCATATTTCTTGAGTAGCACATTGCTTTGTTGCAGATAAAAATGAAACTCTTTGAAATACTAATTCACTGATTAATTTTTCAGAATGACAATTCATGTTTCCACAGATTATACTAAGAAAAAATGTAGCTTACTTGGGTTCTCTTAACATTTCAATCCCCAACAAAGCATCTTCCAGGTGTGTTGGTTACTACAATTCTCAGAATTCCCAAGTCTGGGAAGTCAAACTTAGCATGCAATAGTGAACACAGCCACTGTCATTTTAATTGTTCACGGTTTGGTATGTTTTGTGAACTTGATCGAGCATTCATATAACATGGCTTAATGCAATCAGTTTTATCCTTATACTTTTTATCTCTCTATGTATATTTTTATCCATATAAACTCGAGCGCTACTCTTGAAAGTTGCTTTATTTCTGCTTATTTGATTGAAAAAAGAATGTTAATGGTAAGGGTGGATTGTGTGAAGAATACAAACCATAGCCTAATTCCCTTCAAGATTTAGGAATTACAGTATGTCTCACTATTATTACACTTCACCATCTGGTTCTACTAATTACTGCACAATATCCTAAACAGGATCTTGTAATGAAATTTCACCATCTACAGTTATTTAGAAAATTGTAAAGGGGTGTTTAAACTACAGCTTAGTGCAGCACACATGAGTACAGTACAATACATTTCACCAAGCTATTAGGATATGCTCTGTGTTCTTCTTTTTATTACCTGCATGGGCAGAACTAAGACTTCAAAAGCTTTACTACATATTGTAGTTAAATGGAGTGGGTACGTTTGGTGCAACAAAAAAGGATTAATATTAACCACAAGCAATTTTAAAGAAACTCATTCCAAATGATTAGTGCTAGCTACAATTCCAGATCCAGATGACACCATGATTGACTAAAACTGAAAGGGAAAGAATCTGGCATTTTCCTCCTGATAGTTGGAGAAAAGAGGAAGAAGTCTGCATGCCCAAGGCTTACTATGGTTTTTCTTCTATTCAGGGGTAGCAATGTGTACAGGACACCAGCAGATGATGTGTGACCCGAACATTAAACAATCAGTTAAAAACACATGTGAGATCTTAAGGAGTAAGCAGAAATTACTTCCATTTCACACAGGTAGACAAATGCAGAGCCATTACACTCATTTACCAATCCAGGGAGCATACTGATACTAAACCCAACCTTAAGAAAAGGTTCAGCTTTATGTGAACAGTGCATTAATTGAAAAGCTCAGTACTGAACTTTCAATCAGTATATATTGATTATTGTGCCTGTGCTGCAGAAAAACACAATGTTTTGTCACTCAGAATGTATAATTCCATTTTTCACTCACCTGACCTTAGAGTTCAAATAGGAGTCATTCCAAGATGCCAGCAGCTGAACTTCTGAACTTCTCAGGACAAATTATAAAAACACTTACACTTTTTGAGAAATTTTCCACCCCACCTCAGCTCGTTCTTTAACTATTACCATTGCAAGAAATTTAAAAATGTGCTATGAAAATTGTGATATAGAAATCAAATAAATAAATTCTCAAATCCAATTTTTTAAAAAAATGTAATGCCCCAAGATAGTGCAAACCTATTATAAAATGTTTGGGCTCCTTATGATACATACAGTTTCTTGGATTTAGATAAAAATTATTATAATACACACTAATCAAAGAGTGTTACCTGCTTTCTGACACTGAATGATTTTGTCGTATACAGTATCTGCTGTTTCTATAAGAAACTTGCTCTCTTGAATCATCTGTTAGAGAAAATCAAACAAGAAAATGTCAGTTTGATCATTTCTGTCACAACTATTTGATGTTCAATGTAGCATAGCATGTCAAAAAGGTTGTTTTTTTCATTTCTGTAAAATGTTTGCCATTCAATGCAAAGAGTGCTGATGAGGGAACTACAATAAACCTTTTTAATGTCAAGTAGACATTATACTGACAATTAGAAGGAAATGCAACAAGTAATTAGCAGTAGGAATTGAAGGCTGGAGATAACTACAAAGCTATCTATCTCTTGAGCAATTCTAAATAAGTTGTATGTCAGGTTACATGGGGAATGGAATCCTCCGTGTATGCTGAGCCTTCAGTATGGACCCCATATTAATATTCTCCATATTAAGTAATCCTTCTGAGAAAATTTGGGAGATGCTGTTCATCTCCAGCAAGGAAGAGACAAGTCCTATTCAGTAACAATCATCCACATGAGGATAAATGTAATACTTTGGGATTTGTTTCATTCAGATCCATGGGACTTGAAAGTAAGCCTTCATAATATTTAGCAAAAAAAAAAAAATGCATATTAACCAGTGCTCATATAATGTAAAAAAGCCAGTATCACATCAGGCTGTTTCTATTTACCCCTATTTTAAACAGGATGCATGTGCATGTCCACATATACACACCACACACAGACACACACACACAGAATTAGAATGTAATATTTCCAAAGAATTAAAGGCTACTAGACAATCATACCCTGTTGGGTCATCATTTCAGATATATTTCCTTTCAGAAAGAGAGAAATAGAATGACCAAGGTTGGATGAACAAGCAGTGGGATGGATGAACAAGCAGTGGGAGCAGGGGTTCTGACTTCCTGCCAGCTTCCCCACTGAATCTGGCAGAGATTGTGGGAATCTAGCTGAGAGCACTGGAAAGCTCTCCTGCCCTGCCCTCCCCTTTCCTCCCTTTCCCTCTTCTTCCCAGCAGGCAAGTAAGAGAGAGAGAGAGAGAGAGAGAGAGAGAGAGAGAGAGAGAGAGAGAGAGAGAGAGAGAGAGAGTAGATAAATCTCTCTCTCTCTCTCTCTCTCTCTCTCTCTCTCTCTCTCCACACACACACACATACAAACACACAGAGGGAGAGAGGGAACGAATCTTCCTTAGGAGAAAGCAGGGAATCTTGTAGCAGTTTGTCACTTTAAAAAATGATACTGAATGGATGTCAAAATATTGTTCCTTAATAGGAGAGCATATGGCTTCCAATAATTGTTATTACAACATAAAAGAAAGGAAGACAAAATAAAAGTGCAAAAATCAAAAAGATAGCAGTGCCCTGGTGGAAGCATTACTAGATACCAAGATTTTTGCTCAATCACATTCCATACAACATTCTAGCAAGCACAAAAACATTGTAGACTCCCTGGGATTTTTTTTAAAGGCATTTGTGTTATGATTTTTTAAAAATATATACACTTTATATACACACATATATATATATACATTATGGGCTATCCCGGGGCATGCAATAGAAGGAATAAGGAAAGGAGTGAAGATGGACAGTATTTCTTATAAACAATTACTTAATTGGGATGGGAAGAATTGGCAATTAAAACATATAGATGAATTAGCACAAGAAGATATTATTTATTCGTGGTTTCAGTATAGACAATTATTGGAAAGGTGGAAGATAGATTATAAAGTGGGTTTGATTAGAGAGGATGAAAATTTGTTGAAACAAATTAAAGATCAAAGTCGATCTCATATAAAAAGAATTTATGATGTACTAGTGGAGTTGGATTCAGAAACAGAATTAGTTAAAGATTGCATGGTTAAATGGGCTCAAAATTTTGATGAGCTGGTTTTATTAGAAACATGGAAGATAATTTGGGTGAGGAATGTTAAATTCACGCAAGCTCAAAATTTACGGGAAAATTTTTATAAAATGTTTTATAGATGGCACCTTGATCCACAAAAGATGTCTCGTATGTATTCAAATTTGCAACCTAAATGTTGGAGATGTGGTTGTTTGGATGCAACGTATTATCATATTTGGTGGTCATGTAAAAGTATAAAAGCTTTTTGGATAAAGATATGGTGGAATATTCAAAAAATTTTTGAAAGAAGGATAAAATTCACTCCACAATTGTTTTTGTTAGGTATTATTGTTGATTGTGATGATAAAGAAATTATTTTAATGTTAAATTTAATTACAGCGGCAAGGTTGTTGATAGGACAATATTGGAAGAAGGAATTTTTGCCTTGGAAGAATGGTTTTTTAATGTTTCTTATTTATCTGAAATGGCAAAAATTTCGGCTTATTTGAAAGATCAATCGCAAGAGAAATATCTCTTGGTGTGGAAAAGATGGATAAACTTTATACAGTATAAGTATGATTTAAAAGATATTATTTAGCTTTTGAATAATTTATGTTTAAAGTTTAAAGTTTAAGATAATAAGTATTTTTATTATATATATATATTGGACTTTTTTATATATATATATATATATATATATATATTGGATTTTTTTTTAATGTAACTTTTGTTTGAGGTTTACTTAAGTTTAAATGTTTTGTATTCTTAGTTCTAGTTAACCCTGTATTCAGCTCTGGGAACAGGGGGGGAGGGTTTTTGGGACGGTAGGGAGGTAGTGGGAGAGGGATCTTATTGTAAAATTGTAAAACTTTTAATAATATATATATATATATATATATATATATATATATATATATATATATATATATATATATATATATATATACACACACACACACATACACACATACACTTGAGTGGTAAGAAAATGCAGTATTTTTACAACGTAACTGCAGCTTTCATGGGAAAAATTTGCAGCTCCTGCTCTTTCATGCATATACAGGACAGCTGAAAAACAACGGGAAATAGCATTTATTTCTTGGCATTGAGCCCCTGAAATTTGAAAGTATAGTTTCTGAGAGTTTGAGGAGCTATAGAAAAGGGTTTTCAGAGGCCAGTGGGCCCAGGCTATATGCTTGTATTTTCACACAGCTCTGGTACAGTACAGTGTTGATCATGTTTATAATGCAGTCCAATGTTCTACACAATACACAATGTTGCAATAAAGAAAGAAATACTGTATCATGTCAATACATTTGTCTTTCTATATCAGAATGATGTGCCATTTACACATAGTTCCCTATATCTGCGAGAGAAGGAGGAGATCATATAGGCCAGACATGTCAAACACAAGGCCCAGGGGCCGGATGCGGCCCGTAACATGATTTCATGTGGCCTGCGAAGCCATCTTGGAAACAGTGAGGGAATGGCCCCCGCAGTCTTGGCCCTGGCCCAGGCCGCCCGGGAGCCAATGTACAATTTTGTGGTGGCCATCTATGCTGAAATGCATTCAGTCTTAGCTCCACAAGGCCATCTGAAAACAGCAAGGGACCAGCCTCTGCTGCGTTGGCCCCGCCCCTGGGCGCATGCTGGGGAGGTGTCACCCTTTGTGAGGAATGAAGAAATGCACCATCGCCTGGAATTGGCCAGCAAATGGCCCTCGCCTACCTCACATATCCAACTTGATGGGCTCTGGGGGAGAGGTTTCAGCAGGCAGTGGGACGCTGTCCTTACAGCGCCAAGAGGCTGAGCCAGGCGGCGCAAATCCAAAAAGAAGCGTGCCGCTGCTCATCCCCCAGCCTGCCCGATTTCAGCAGGCAGCAAGGTGCAAAACTGGCGAGCTTTGCACTGTCCAGCTCAGCCTCTCAGCGCTGTGAGGAGAGTGCCTCGCTGCCTGCTGAAACTAGGCAGGCTGGGGGCTGGATGGCATTGCACAGGTAACGTCGACTCTCACGTTGCTCATGGTGTCCCCTCCCCCAAAGCCCACCAAACCAGATATGTGAAGTAGGTGAGGGCCATGTGCTGGCCACTTCCAGGCAATGGTGCATTTCTTCATTCCTCACGAAGGGTGACACCTCCCCAGCTGTGTTTCTTGCCTGTTTTTCTCCCTCCCTCATCTCAAATATTTTCCCACCACTCTGTTCTTAGGAAGGAAGGAAGGAAGGAAGGAAGGAAGGAAGGAAGGAGAGGGAGGGTCTGAGGGAAGTCCTACCTTAGTCCTGCCCTGCTGCCCTTTCACCATCCCCTTGCCCCCTCCTCCTGGCCTATCCTGGGGGTCTCCCATCCTATTGCTAAGGAAGCTTTGGATACAAAGCCAGGTCTCCTCCCATGGAGAGGGAGTGGGCCTCCCTCTGACTTTGCCCTTATACCTATCACGAGCAACCTGGCTAAGGAGAGCAAGCACAGCAGCAGCAGCTTTGAGGAGGAGCTAAGTGCAGCTGGGCACCCCCTTGGGGAAGTGGGGCTGGGTTGGTGCCGCGGGTGCTTGAGGGCTGGGCTGGGCATTTTGACCTCTGCTGCCCAGGACTCCAGGAAGCCCGCAGCACCATCCAGCCCCAACCCCGCATGGCCTGAGAGGAATAGTGAGGCTCCTCCAGTGGACCATGCCTTGGCACTTGCCCTGGTCCCACCCTCTTCTGCCAGAGACCCTCAGATCTGTCCCACTCCTGCCCAGGCCCCAACAGGCATCCTTGACATGAACAATGAAGAGCTGGTCATGCCCTCCCAGTAGGCCACACCCACTCCAGCCACGCCCATCCAATAGACCGTGCCCACCCTGGGCACACCTACCTGGCCCCCCGAGGACAACCACAATGCTGATGTGGCCCTCAATGAAATTGAGTTTGACACCCCTGATATAGGTCATTTCAGATTCTCTCTTTTGTAAAGCCTGTTTTTAATTTTTCATGCATGAATTTAATTTAAAATATATGATGGCATCATTCAGGAACTTTCACTTCACTACTATAATACATTATTTCTACTTTTAAAATGTACATGCTGTCCTTTAAAACAATATTTTTCCAAAGCTGGATCCAAACACTACGTTAAGTTAAAAATAATGGCTAAAATATACAGCAGAAGATATAAATTAGTTAAGAAACTATATTCTGTCTTAAACATTAATGTATTATAGATTAAATAAATACTGTATTT